CAGTATTATGGTCACCGACCAGAATAATAGTGTTATATATAATTCACACACACACACAAATATATATTTATTTGTGTGTGTGTGTGTGTGTGTATATATATATATATATATATATATATATATATATATATATATACTGTATATATATGTGTGTGTACATATATACATATACCTGTATACTGTTAAATTTTTTGCACACGTGTAAACAAATAAAAAGTACAACGTGAACTATTTAAAACATTCCAGTTATTAAAATGCTGAATTTCAAGCACTATATAATTTTGCTCAAAGTCTCTTAGGAAAAGAAGTTCTATTTTTAGAAAATGAATTTTCAGTCAACAGAAATTTGTTCAGGGTATCAAAATCTTAAGTAGCTTGTGAAACATATGAAAAGCATATATATATATATATTTAATTTGATATATATGCCGCCCTTCTCCAGAGACTCAGGCAGCTTACAGTGCGTTAAGCAATAGCCTTCATACTTTTGTATATTTTATACAAAGTCACTTATTGCCTCCACAAACTGGGTCCTCAATTTACCTACCTTAGAAAGGATGGAAGGCTGAGTCAACCTTGAGCCTGGCAAAATTCGAACTTACTTTAATTGCAGACAGCTGGTGTTAAATTGCAGTGCCTTGTCTGCAGAGCTATCAAGGCTCCCTATTATTCAATAAGAGATGGAACCAAGCTACCAATGTGAAGTATGCTTCTGTTATCAATGATTTTGTGAATGAGTACTTACATACAATTAGAATTGTTAGTGTATTAATAAATTGTGCATTTCACATTTTTCTGGCCACTCTCTGTGTATATGTGCTCAACTGAGAACAGCACTTTATTCACCTGTTTAAATGACCTCTAATCTATAAAGTTATTCTAAAATGTTTTAAGTATAAGATGCTCTAGTCATATATTTATCCATCATATAAAATACTTTCATAGGCTAGTGACCCTCATAAGACCCTCAAAAATCTATCCCAAACTGAATAACAGAATTGGAAAGGACCTTGGAGGTCTTCTAATCCAACCCCCCTACTGGAGCAGGAAATCCTATATCATTTCAAACAAATGGTTATCCGATCTCTTCTTAAAAACATCCAGTGTTGGAGTTCCACAACTTCTGGAGGCAAGTTTGTTCCACTGATTGTTAACTGTCAGAAAATTTCTCCTTAGTTCTAGGTTACTTCTCTCCTTGTATAGTTTCTATCCATTGCTTTTTACCCTGCATTCTTCTAATGCTTTGGAGAATAGGTTGATCTCCTCTTTTATGTGGTAGCTGCTTAGATATTGGAACACTGCTATCATGTCACCCCTAATCCTTCTTTTCATTAAACTAGATATACCCAATTCCCACAACCATTCTTCCTATGCTTTAGCCTCCAGTCCCCTAATAATCTTTGTTCCTCTTCTCTGCACTCTTTCTAAAGTCTCATCAGGGCCTTCCAATGTACTAAATTCCCAGAAAGTTGGGTAGTCCCACATTTATCATTTTTGTTCATTAAGGAAAATAAAATAAGGACGCGAGATAAGAGTGTACCTATGCTGTAAAGTATATCTATTGTGTAGTAAAAGCAAACAAAAGATATAGTAATTAATAACTTCAATTCCCATTAATTAAAATGTTAGCACAATGAAATGTGCTAATTTTAAAGTTTTTCTAGTCTAGGAAAAAAACAATTCTGTTCAAGAATTGTTCACCTCCCCACTTTTGCCAGTCTCTGAATTGCAGTTCCACACGACCCAGGAAAGATAAATAATGATGAAAGGGAGCATCCCGAGCTCCTGGGAACCGAACGTGATTACATATCGTAAATACAGCGATTCAGAAAGAGCCTGAAGGCAAGCAGCAAATGGGTGAAGCACTTCTGACTTTCAGCAATAATAGTTTGTGATTCTGATGCATCCATCTCACACATTTAATACTTGCCAATTAGTCTCAGTCATTGGACATGTTTGCGTGAGAAACTTATGCAGCATAAGACATAATTTTAACCACATAACTCACAGACCTGCCCAGTTCCCGGAGGGCTGGAATCATGGAAGCCATTTCGAGCCCCTGGTCAGCCATCCTTGACTCTCCCGAGTCTACCGCCAGCTCCGTTTCGACCCTTCGTCCCCACCCCTTTTCCTAGCTGACAGGAAACTGAAGGACGGTGGCTCGTTTGAGCCAAATTTCCCACGAAGGAGATTCGTGTTTCTTCCATAATTATACCCCTTCTTGTAGATTGATTGCTTCCCGCGAAGAACTTCGTATTAGATAATTTGCATATGCCTTATTATTAACAACTCGCTGTCAGACACAGCGCTTGACGTTTGAAACTTCAATTCTACCTGCGTCCTGCGCTGAACTCGGCGGAGTTTATTTCCTAATTATTATATGTTGTGTGTTTTGTACGTTTGCACGAGTGATGCAGTAGCTTTTTTTTCAAATTATTCCCAGTTGTCTCTCTATATACGATTGTCATGTGTCCAATGCACAACTACGTCACTGTAAACGTCTTCCGATACTTCAAACCCGTGCTGTTTCCTAGCAGGCTAATCATATCACAGTACATAAAAGAGTTGCATGCAGTTCTACTAACAAAATTCAGTATGCACACTAAACGACGAGAGGATCCTCTTTAAAAATATCAGAACTGAAAAGACAAGTATGCTCAAGTGCTGAGAATACTGGTAAGGAGCTGTGACTGGATTAACAGTTGAGTGGGTTATGCTTCTTGTGCAGTTCCCCCACAAAGCACGTTTAGAAAGGAGGGTTGAATACAGGGGGTCCTCAACTCAACCACAATTGAGCCCTAAATTTATGTTGTTAAGTGAAAAATTTGTTAGGTGAGGCTTGCCCCATTTTACGACTTTTCTCACCCAGTTTGTTAAGTGAATCACTGCAGTTCTTAAATTAAGAACATAGTGGTTAAGTGAATCTGGTTTCCCCACTGACTTTGCTTGTCAGAAGTCACAAAAGGGGAGCCCACATGACTGCGGGATACCACAACCGTTATAAATGTGATTCAGTTTCAAGCATCCAAATGTAAATCATGTGACCATGGGGATGCTGCAACAGACATAAGTGTGAAAAATGGTTTTAAGTCACTTTTGTCAATGCCATTGTAACTTTGGTGACTAAATGAACTGTTGTAAGTGAGGACTATCTGTAAACGACTTCAGTGTCAGGCCATTCCTTACAAAGGAAGGTTGGAAAGGATTTGTGTGCATAAAAATGTCAAACACTTTGCAATAATAGTTTGTGATTCTGAAGCATCCATACCACACATTTAGTACTTGCCAATCAGCTTCAGTCATTGGACATGTTTGCGTGAGAAACTTATGCAGTGTAAGACATAATTTAACCACACAACTCACAGAAATTTATCTTTATCTTAGCTATGATGTGGCTCTTTGATATCATGTGAATATAAGTATACAATTTTTCTTAGATTAACATCTGTTTTTTCAGCCATTGATCTCCCAAGCTTTATTTATTAAATAATTCTTTCATTAGGAGCTCAAAATATTATACACAGCACCCCCTTCTATTTTTCCCCAAAAACCACCATGTAAGATAGGTTTATCCAGTGAACTTCCATGGTTGAAAATACATTAGAAAGTGGATCTGTCCAACCCTTAACATTACTCTAAATTTGCTCTAAATATTTAACAAATGGAATAGGCTGGGAATTAGTTAATATGATAAGGTCCCAATACTTTAGCACTTGCAGGATTGATTGGATTGAGAATAAAAGGGATTATGGGCATTGTAGTCAAACATATTTGAAAAGCATTCAGTTGGAGCAAATTACTTTACCTCCTGCCATGACTGCAAGTGAATGCAGACTCTTTTGTAGTGGATAATGTTTTATATCCTTACCACCATCTTACCATCATCATTAGGACCCCTATGGCTGAACTTCTATCTCACAGTCATTTGTAGTTAGGTGTGACATAAATTTAATAAATTATTATTACTGTTATTATCTCCAGAACTCATCAAAATCTGAGATTGCAAAGTTATCTGAGAGCCTTTAATGGGATGGAACCGACCATCTGAATTACTGTTGCCACAACACATTAAGCTACGCAGTATTTTTTATGAGATTGCTTGTACTGCTACTTTATCTTAATTCAACATAGTATTTTAGTTAAGCACAGAACGTTATTGATCATTATTCTCACTCTTTGAGCTTTGAGAACTACCATTTCTAATTATTGCAAACTGGAATTTGAAACAAGCTTCCAGAAATTCCCATCAAAGAACTTAATATTATGAAAATTATTAAATAGATTCCAATGAAGATTATCTACATATCAGTAAATTTTGTGGGCTTAATTCACATGCTCATTTGTTTACTCATGGTGTAAATGAGTGAATCACAATTTTGCACATAAAGTTACAATACCAAGTTTACAAATCATAATGGTTGGATTCATGTAGTAACCAAGCCAAAGCCAAACTATAAGGCATAGTGAAATGTGAATGCAGTTTTTTTTAACTGAACCATAGTGAATTTGTAGAAGAAATTATTATAGTCAACTCAGCTCCCATTCTAACTACATTCCCTTAAGATCTACTCAATTAGACGGAAGGAGCGCAGTTTCCAAATCCCCAGCCAAGACAGCCACTGTCTATAACTGTTGGAGATTGTAGGAATTGTAATACTCCAATACCTTGGGGTTATCGAACTGGGGAAAAGTGTTGTAAGACAGGGAGTCTCGATCTCTGTAAAACTTTTAAAATCGTATAACTTTTTGCGCAATAAATGAACCAGGTAAAAACTACCCGTCAGAAACTCAGCAGACCCGTCACCAGCTCAGAACACCCATGCAATTTAATTAGTTTCCACGAGGATAATTGCGGCTGGAATTTGATCCCTAGCAGCTCTCCTCCCGAGTCCTTTGTAACGGCGATGTTTGTGCTATAAACCCGCCTCCTACTGCCGGGAAGACGAGGAGACTGATTTGTATAGCTGTCAATCAATAGCGATACTAGGGAGGGACCGGCGACTGCCTGCAGGTGTTCTCCTGCATACGGTAGTACTTTCCAAGGCTTAGTTCAGAAAGTGGATCTGCGACGAAATCCAGCTACGAAGTGGCTGCGGCAGGAAGGTGAGTCCAGGTCCTTGATGTATGACAGGTACTTTTCCAACAGGGGCGGTAGGGCGGGTAGCACCGATTTTTAAATTTCATTTTACTTATAAGAAAAGATGTTCATCAAATGGGCGGTTTGTTTTTAGACAGCTTTAATCGTTTTGTAGGCTTTGTCATGCTATTTGCGTGACTTTTACTTCTTTTTAACTCTCGTTCTTAACTTGTCACACCCACAGCTTCTGTGTAAATAGGCCCTTGAAGTGAACCTTTGATTAAATACAAAGCAACCTGCCGTTCATAACTATTTCCTCCAGCACAAGGTGTGTTTTCAAGAATCTCAATCTTCACAACAGCAATTTACAGTGTCGTTATTCTTAGTTTTATACGGGTGCAAAGTGCAATTGTATAAGCTTTAGACAGGCTAAATAGGAAAAGTATGAAACCTGTTTTTTCCTTTTCAAAGGTAGAATGATAGAGTGCAATTTTGAATATGAAAACAAATTATATTTCTGACAGTAAATGTATTTCTTATGAAGGAAACAGTTCAGGATTGAAATAAAGGCTATAGTTTAGCACTTCCCTTGAAACAAGATGGATGAACAATCGGTTCTAAATAAGCAAAACTCAGAAATACATAACTCCTGTAAATTGAGAACTTATTTTAATAAGTCTTTAGAATTGCTGCTGAAAATGGCAACCGTCTCTTCATTTACAGTGAACTATAAAATATGTATACATCAGTAAATTCCAAATTTTTCCTTCTTGTCTTACTTTAAAGATCAGAGATGTATCAGTGGTATATGAAAGATTTGGGACAACCCTAGGTTATGAAACATCATATTAGTTTTACTTTTTATGTATGACTATAGGATCTTTCTTGCTCATTACAATAGATAGCAATGGAGGAGAATAAAAAATTCATGTTGTAATCTAATCCTAATGCAGTCCTAGGAACTCAAAATCCCCCTATTGTTTTCTAAAGAGATTAAATATGTATCTATTTCTAGAATTTGCCAAGATATTGTTGCAAATATTTTTGATATGACATTGTGACTCCAAATGCTGTTGAATAACAAAACAATTTGAGGTCTATATTCCAGGATAGCATTGAATTTGGTTTATGTTTTGAAGCTGGAATGAACATGTATCCTTCCATGGGAATGTAATAAAGAATCCTGTTTTATATTAATAACACAGTTAATAATTTTCTGCCTCTCTTAAATTCTTGATTACTTTTTTCTCTCTCACTCTTGAATTCAAAACTGCTTTTAGGACAAATTTGTTCTTCGTTCTGATCAGAGGTTTTCAGTATGAATTATTTATTTTTATTTTTATTGTCCTGCAGTTTTTATATAACACACACACACAAACAATTTCAATAAAAACAATTTTACATAGTTGTGTAAAATACATATAAAAAATAAGGCAATAAGTAGTGCCTCCTTTTAAGATGACTGTAACTTTTAATTTATATTTTTAAAGGAAAAAATATCCCCCACCCAACTTTATATCTTTTTCATCTTTCTGTAAAATTTTATATTGTGTGATGATATCACTGTGAGCTTTCAGACAGAATCTCTCAGTAAGCATCAATTACATTAAAGACAAAATATAATAATACTTATTGAAATGTGAGCTTTACAAATTAAAATATATACTATTAAAATACAATGGCAAAATGAGTAACTTAAAACAATGTAAAGCATACTGATTAAAAAGGAGGAAAGAAATGAAATAAAAAAACTTTCATGCATAATATTCACCCCAGGAAATCTTGAATGAAGAATTAGTTCAATAGATATTTAAAAACATAGTGGGGGAAGACTCAATATTCAAGAGTGAGAACATCCTAGAATAGGATGAAGGGTGAGGCATCATATGAATGGACATTTTATCAAGTTTAATGGGCATCTAAAAAAACTTTAAAAATGGATACAAATGCATATATTAATCCAGAAGATTTTAAAGGTTAATGTACAATTAGAATCGGTAAGCTTTCTTTTGGGACTAACTATAGAAAAAAGTAGAAAAAACTAGAACTTTGTTTTTATACATGATAATCACAGCAAAACAATTATATAGTCTAAAACAGAAAGGCTTAACTCTACCCATAATTTAATTTAATTTAATTTAATATTTAAATTTATATACCGCCCTTCTCCTGAAGGACTCAGGGCGGTAAACAGCCAGAAGTAAAAAACATTGAATACAAAATATAAAAACAATTTAAAAATGAATTAAACAATTTGGCCTGACAATTAAAATCCCCCATTAAAAATCCAAATTAAAATACCCAATTGGAGAGATTAGGCCAGCCCGATTTAATGAAATAAAAAGGTTTGAGGGCCCGACGGAAAGTACGTAAGTCTGGAATCGTCCGTATCTCCGGGGGGAGCTCGTTCCAGAGGACAGGTGCTCCCACAGACAAAGCTCTCCCCTTGGAGGCCGCCAGTCAGCATTGTTTGGCTGATGGCACCCGGAGGAACCCCTCTCTGTGGGAGCGTACTGGCCGGTGGGAGGCTCTCGGTGGCATAAGGCGGTCCCATAAATATCCCGACCCTAAGCCATGGAGCACTCTAAAGGTGGTCACCAACACCTTGAATCGCACCCAGAGGACCACCGGGAGCCAGTGCAGCTCACGCAGGAGAGGTGTTACATGGGAGCGCCATGACGCTCCCATAATCACCCGCGCGGCCGCATTCTGGACCAGTTGGAGCCTCCGGGTGCTCTTCAAGGGGAGCCCCATGTAGAGAGAATTGCAGTAGTCCAGGAAGAATAACCGGTAAAGAGATGGAAAGATGGTTAAACTAACCTCTTTGATTAGAGGAAAAAAAAACTATGTTCATGTTTGGCTGGAAATAGACTTTTTCAATGAAATAGAAAAAAAAATACACTGATGTTTTGTGGGTTTGATAAGGAAAAAAATTGGTTAATGGGAAAAAAACACTTTTTAATCTAAGTGTTAATATTGTAAATATAATTATATTTTTGTTGCAGAAGCTTTTTTCTATTTCATTTTCTCTTTTTGCACATTTTCTCTTTTTGCACTTTTTCTTTTATTTCTTTTGCTTTGTATTAGTGTGTATTAGTTATGTTTTTGAAAAAAACTTTGAATAAAATCTATATTTAAAAGTGAGGATAGGAACCCCAGATTTATGCAGCTTCAAAACTACATGTATCAGAACCCAACTGCCTTTAGTAATTATACAGGTCTGCAAAAGGACAGGAAATCTATTCAGCACCCTGCTCCCAAGTTGTATAGGTCCAGTATATAAGAAGCACATCTTAAGTCTTAGCTTTTTTTTTCTAATAATGTTACAAGTCAGTCAAATGTATCAGACAAGAAATTTAGGAAGAGAAAGGCCAAGCCTTTAAATTTTAAATTTTTTAATTCGTGATTTTATAAATTGGGTGTTTTAATCTGTGTTTCGGCCAAAATATTTAATAATTTTAAGGGATTTTTAATATTTGTATTGTCTGTATTTTATCTTGGCTGTTCACCGCCCTGAGTCCTTCGGGAGTAGGGCGGTATAGAAATTTGATTAATAAATAAATAAATAAATAAGCATGAGAAGGCTTCTGAACTTGTGATCAATAATGCAGTATTAGTTAATTCAGTGATATGGGCCAGAAACAAGCAGAAAAAAATCCATAAAAAGTGAAAGTATAGTAAATGTGTCTTTGTGATGATATCTCTGCCATGGGTACTGTAACATTCTAAATAATCAGTGTTATCACTTGTATTAGAATCCATATATGGTAATGTAAGTGGCCTCCTAAATGATAAGTTAGGCCACTAACCTTTGACCACACTGTTTTATCTTATCTGCTTAGAACAAACTTTAATCCTGATTCCTTTGGACCTTGCAAAAATGAAATAAAATTAGTTGTCTTTAAAGTCTGACAATTTCTTTGTTTTGGAATGATTTGCATCTTCGAGGACATATTTGGCACTGGGACTGCTATTTGTAGCAACAATTTTTAGATGCTAAATGTATTTCATAAAGTTCTCAAATGAAAAATATACAATAATTTACACAACCAGTGTAAAGATGTATCTATCTACTTCTGCATAAAAACTGCGTTTGGAGTTTTCTCATTAAGAATTTAGAATGAGACATGGTGGAGAGAAGAACAAAGCTGAGCAAAGCCTTGCCTGATTTTTGGATTATGTCTCATTCTTTCGCCACTTTGTTTAGAAGGGTTCAATTAATCTTCTGGAAAGACTTTGCAAGGGCTGAAAGGAGTGAAAGAATCAGGAAATATTTTGTAAGTTAATTGATTATTATAAAACCCAAACTAATATCTTGCCCCCTAACATTTAGGGAAGGAATCTTCTCTGAAATGAGCTTTGAATGTTTTCACATAAATTTCTAAGAATAAAAGACTTGGAAGGTATAATTTTGGGCATTGCTCAATGCAGAAATTGAAATTCAAGAATTCACGAATAGTGAATGTCTAGGCACATCCTGTGAAGAAGAGCCCATCATCTCTCAAATAATTGGCTCCATGTCAAACTGCTCTTGTAATTATAACAGTTTTACAACTGTTATGTATAAAATAACAGTTATTATTATAAAATAACTGTTATTTATAAAAAAAATAAATTGACATGAGGGGAAAAAATGCCTTGACCTTCTTCTATTTGACATTCTTTAATATATTTGAAGAATGCTATCATATTCCAGCCCAGTCATCTTTTTTAAGGCTAAATATAAACACTCTTCTTATATCTCTTCATAAGTTCATAGGCTCTTGATCTGTTCCCCTGATCATCCTCATTACCCTTCTCTGAAACTCTTTCAATTTCTGTAAAGTCATGCCCAGAACCATGTACAATAGATAAAGGCTGCATGAATCATGATAAAAGCAGAATAAATTGAAACTATTACTCCTGTGATGTGGAAATTATACTCCTGTTAATGTATCTAAAACAGTATTGCCTTTTTTTTTTTTGCTCAGAACATTACTTTGTTGGTTTCATGTTCTATTTGCATACAGCTACTGTTTCAATCTTT